GATAGTAGAAGCAAATTTATGTGGAAGGGTGTGTTCTTCTCTCCTTCCAAATAATGGACTTCTGAAATCCCGAAAGCAAGGGCTCTCTTCTTGTAGAACTCTAATAGGCTGGAGGAATTCTCGTGGGACTATTGTCCTTAAACTAATCCACTTCTTTTACCGTTTCAACTTTCTGTTGCACTTGTCAAACCACCGTGTCAGATGGCTTTCTCATAACATCTGACTGCTGGCTGTGGTACGTGACCTGCTTTTGTATTTCTTGTGCTCTTTTAATCAATCAGACTGCGAGCCTCTATTCCTTAGTATTCATCAGGTACAACTATATATTGGGTCGTATATTTTGAACTGTGCCTCCCTTACAATATTAAATTTTTGTGTTTGATAAAATCAACAGTTTCAGAAAAGAAATTCAAGAACTGAGCGTAAAGTACATCACCATAAGGACTCCGTGGATAATGCGTAACCATTCAGATTTGATTGTTTCAAATTCTAGGTCTTACTAAATAGAGACGATCTACTCTTTTATTATCTGCCAGTTTGAGACTTCACTGTCACAGGACGATGTATTGGATCAAATGCAACTTGCCACAGTAGTTGTCGTCATTGTTCAGTAATTCTTGGAATGGTGGAAATACGAACATTGAAAACGTATCCTATCCGGAGGTATTCCTTTTTGCGAAATTTAATAATTCCTCCCTTTAGCTTGTTACAGGATATTCCAAAATTGATGAATACGTGATATTGCGATAGTTTCGAGCAGTCAGTGGCCATCGTTTCTATCAATATGAGTACAGTTACCGGCACTTCCATTTTGCCATAAAGTTTTTCGTTGCTGCTGATCTCATGTTGTAGTAATTTTAAACGTTTGGCTATACATACCGATGCTTGCCCCTATCCCGATTCACTCTGATCCTTGTGCTATACGTTGTCAGTACGGTTGAAATTGTTTGTCGTCAGAAAAGCCTTGATTTATTTGCCTAGGTCCGTGTAATCCATAAAATTCCATTTTTTAGTTTTCTGCTATACATATATATTATTCTGACCTATGATCATGCTGTCGCTACGACCATACCGGGGAAAACGAATCAGCACCATTATCCTTGTTTTTAACTACCTAATATGCGGATTAAGCAGGCACGCATTTGATTTACAGGTGCAATGCATGGGTTGATTTTGTATCCGTTTCTTGATTGGAGTTGTGATTTGCTTGTCTTCATCGATGTTTCAGGAGGCGGGATTTATATATTTTATCGAACACCTCGAAGGGTGGATGATGCCTCCAAAGTTACATGTTACTAGTGGTTCTGCCATGAGTATGCCGTCGGTCAATTCGCATGTTATTTTTGGTGCATTCCGTTTAAGGAGCCGTCTTTGAAACGGCTATTTTTGCTGGTCACTACCGCCAAACTGATTTATTGGAGTCGTTTCGTATGTGCAATAGCTAACTCGTAGCACGATTATCATCTTGACGGCAGCAGTGAATCGCGGTTTCATTAAAATTAGGTCTCGTTGATTGGAAAGTCGTCCTCTCCATACAACACTTGAGAAACGCTCTAATTTAACCACATTTCCCCATACGTCAGGCCCGACTGCAAGGTTTTTTATGTTCTATTCCCACATTACGTCGAAAGCTATTCTTCATTTTGCCTCTGCAGTGAGATTATCATAAAATACTCTTGAGGAGCTAAAAGGACTGAATCCTGAGGGTTAGAGTATTGCGAGCGATATGAACTGCAATGCATTTTGCCGTTCTAAAATTAACTGCATTTAATAAATGTTCTGTACATTTGGTTGTCCATATTGGCTTAAATGACCCCTTTCCCATCCCGTCAAGATCATACTTTGCCATGATGTTCAGACAGTAAATGCAAGAGTTTTCTAAGCACTTTTTTTTAGAACTTCTGGCGGAAAATGGAAGACTGATTATGATGGACACGATTCTTAGTACCTTTGGACGAGTTATGAGCGCTCATCGCGGAGAGGTTTTATGCGAAGTCACAACCGCAAAAGTATGTTTTCAGAACTACTATGTGACACGCATGATATCTCATTCTCAAGTATGACACCTTGAATGGTTTCTTCATGTAATGATTCATGTGATGATGTTTCTTTTTTGCCGACTTACCTCGTCTAAACAGCACTGCAGATTCGTCGCGTTTCTTTCCTTTCTCATTAACGTTCCATAGTCTATTGGTTTGCCGTATGCTGACGGTTTTTTGATTTATGGTATACAAGAGGGATTTTCAGCTACGAAATTTTGCTTTTTCTGTGAGGATTTGCATGTTGTTCATACACTTTTCACGAGGTAGACAACTTTGCCTAGAGATGTGCACCATTCCTCCTGCCTCGCGTAAAAAATATTCTGTTTCGTTCATTAGTATATACCATCCATTCAACGCCATTTCAATCTTTGCCTTCATCGTTCGCGCGGTAAATACAGATTTCTCAGACAACTGTATTTTTCCTAAGTCAGTGTGAGTCGATCTTAATTTTCGATTTTGTATGTTCTTAAAGAAGTCCATGTCTGCCTGATTTCGGGCTGTCTGTATTTTTTATGGCTTATATTACAGAATGTGCCATCAATATTATGACCTGGCATCACGTCTCTAGCTCAGATTGCTCGATTGGTGGTGTGAACAACCAGCACGTGTCAGCCGTGCGACAGATAACTTCGCAGTACTTATACAACAATGCCGAGAAAGTGATTTGTTTCCCATGTATATTGGATTAATAACACGCCGCATGGTTTTTCCTACTTTCATACGTGATTTACGGATTAAGTGATGATGGATTTCTTGACTAATTTGTAGCCGTATATCAGTCTATCGCTGCGTTTTTAAACCAGCTGATTGATTTTATATTTCCTATTTAATATATTGTAGCATTCAATACTTTTCCTTCTAATTTACGTTTTTGTTTAGTTGCTCGATTATAACGGAAAGGTTGAACTGAACAAAGTATTACAAAGTTTAGTCACTCCCGGAAAGAAAATAAATGTATTGTATAAGGTCAGTTCTTTTAACTATGGTGTTGTGATTGCATGTGACCATTGTGTTTAGACGAACCCATCTTTATTAGCCGGCATGACGTTATCCGTTGGCGATTACTTTATTGATATGTCCACCGTTTCGAAAATTTCCAGTTATGCGAAAGCTTTAGAAGCTGCGTTATGAGTTATCTTTTGTCTGCTAGTTTATTGTTTATTAGTTTATTGTCGACCTGTAAGGTGTTTTGTCATGGAGTAAAAATCACAAATTTCCACACTTTAATTTATGAAACAGCTGAGGTAACTCCGCCATGGCCGGTCCCAAGCCCGGATGAGAAAGGGGGAGGGTTGGAGACCGTGGCAAGTCTCCGTAA